CAGCTTGTAACAACTACATGATTGAATGGATTGGAAGTTAAATAGAATATAGGTATAATTATTTAGAGTTTTAGGCTTGAATTCTTAAAAGAAAGTGGACCTCAGTAGTCATACTTGAAAAAGATGCCTTAGCTTTTCTGCAATGAAAAATAAAGATACACAACACAGAGTAAGGCAAGTGAGAGTCACTTCTGTTTATCTAAAAACCTCGGGGTCACTCAGTTAACCCAATACTACATCAGATAAGTTCACTTCATTTGGAGTCAAATATGTTGGTTAAAAGTATAGGTACTTCTCACCATGTTTACTTTCACAGTAATTTTAGGGGTTTATCTTTCATGTTTTCAGTGGAGAGAATTTACATTTCAATTGCACCTATGTAGCTTTTCATACTTTTTACAGCCCTTCCACACTGCATCTTCAAATGCTCCCGGGAGGTGGATAAGACAGGATGTTTTGGAACTGGCTCGTGCCTGCATAGCATTGGGTCATTCAATAATAACAATAATCCATTGAGTTGTTCAGAAATGAGGGAAATCATAGAGGTTAAAGATCCAGCGGCATGTTCTTTACAGTTTCAAAGATTTTTCAAAGTTATTAGATAGTATTTAATAAGTGAATATTTAAATGAGACTTACGAACAGAGACAGTCTTCATTCTTGAGCTATGTTTTTTATGTGTTTATCACTTATTTACCACCAGCCGTTCATTGTGCATTTACAATAACTAGACCCTGAGAATATAAAGATGAGTAAGACATTTCCATCTGCAGTGAGTTCACAGCAAAACAAATCTTATCTTTTGAAAAATGTCTGTTTTTACCATGATGAAACGTAAAGATTCATAGTTGATTGATCCAGTACCTCTCAGAATCAGTATATTGATCAGACTTCCAAATATGAGAGTCAAATACTAGGATCATTAAAAATTTGGGTGGTGGGAGGGCAACTGTGTAAATCAGCAGCAAAATATATTTATAAAGCTAATATTAATACTGCAAATTTGTAAAACAAACAAAATGTAAAGTTACAACATCTGTTTTGTCTGAATGCCTTGTCTATCCAAAAAAAAACAACACGTGAGTGAATTTAAATGATAAACATTTAATTATTTATATCTTCTTAAAAAGAATTTCCTCCTATGCTAAAGAAAGATTTGCCAAATTTTGGCCTGGAGCAATTAGTTATAGCTGTGTAATAAATACCCCAAAGTTGAATTTTTAATGGATACACTGACAGACCTTTAACCATGGTATTATAAGGAGGGTGTTAGCCCACATACGTCATTTAAAAATCTGAGCAAATCATAGTGTGCCTGCAAAACCAATATACTTTCCTTAGATTGTACTTCCAAATAAAGCTGGAGAGACCAGAAAAGCAAAATAAACTAAAAACAGAAGTGAAAACCACTCACACAATAGACTCTGAGGTCAGCTCGCCACACCCAAACTGAAGTCACTGGGCTCTGTTTGAGGCACAGAGACTCTTAAAGGACATGCTTCTGAATCAGCTTTCTTGACCCTCCACCAAACTGTAGCAGCCCAGGCTTCTGGGTAATGAAAGTGACATCACCAGTAGTCAAGAGTAAAATTAAAATCATTGTATTTAAACATCTGCCAACAGTTGACTTAAGAGTACACACATTAGGCAATTTTAAATAAGATTCTGTCTACAATTAAAAACAAGTGCTTTAGTATAGGTCTGTACTGTCCAATATGGCTATTAAGCACTTGAGATGGGTTGTAATTGTAAAATATACCTTAGATTCTAAAGGCTTAGAACATACACACACATACATACATATGCACATATACGTATATTAAATATTAAAATGAAAATATTCTGCATATATTAGGTTAAATAAAAATCTTGTTAAAATTAATTTACCTGTTTCTTTTTACTTTTTAATGTGGCTACTATAAAATTTAAAATGACATGTGTCCATTACATTTCTAGTGGACAGCTCTGGTATTAACAATGGGGCTGGGAAGGTGAAGGAATTAGTTCTAAGAACCCATAATTGGAGACCTTAGGCATGGCTCTTTGCAGTAGTGTAGTAGTAACTTAATTACTTTTCTGCCTTCCTGAGGTTTCCCCCTTGCAGTATAGAACATGGACCTTACCCCCTGTTAAAATGATCTCTGAGAGTAAGCTACTGGTGAAGGCATAATCTCCTTGGTAGACGTGATGTGGGCCTGGAAAACGAACATCTGTTAGGCTTATCTGTTAGACTAAAAATTCGTTAGATTCAGTCTCTCGAGGTGGGGTGGGGGAATCCTCAAATACTTTGCCACCCTGGAAAGCTAATGGAAAATTTGCTCTCTGTTTTAGAAAGCACAAGCCTTCTGAAGTTACAGCTGGTTACAGGCTGAATGGTTGGGGGTGATACCTTTTAATGACAGATGGCTTTGGGTATGGATAATGAAAAGTATACTATTGCTCCTTGACTAGAAAACAAATCAAAGCCATCAAAAGGAAATCTGTTTTCTTGTTAAACAGTTTCTAGTATATTTAGTATAATAGGACACATCAAAAGGAAATGAGATGATTTTTAACCGTTATTTATTTTGCAAGCAAGACCTAGACACATTTTCACTAATGTAACTATGTCCGACATTGAACGTAATGCAATGACCTATGAAATAACAAGAGTTTATGGTCTTAATCATCTATAGAACATAGTTCTTCTTACATGTAAAGAAAATGAACAACATTTTAAGGCTTGGAATGAGTGAGTTGAACTTTGCTTGGTATTGGCCAGAAGCATTTGGAAATCTATTAAAAGCATTTCATTAACAACTTGGCATTTTGTTTCCTCAAAAGAAATACATTTTCCAAATGAAAATCAGAGCCCAAAGCCACCACTGTTTACACTTAAGATAGTGGCAGTTGATGGGTTGTGAGGATAAAGCTTAGGGTGCCTTCAAACTGAGATCAGGGGCAACAACAGGCTAAAAACCCCATCAAATCGTTATTCTAACTTCATGACATTAAAATACATAGCATAAGCTCTCACAGTTACTTTATTTTTCTTGAGTCAATATCGGCCAGGAAAAGCTGATCCAAATGAGGGTCAGGGTTTAAGACAACTGTTTTATGAGGAATTTACCAAGTTTACCCCGAAGAGGAAGAGTCAGAGAAAAATGCACTGGCAAACTTCGCTTTCTGACATAAACAACTAGAGGAGACTGCCCGTGTCAGGATTTCAGCAGAGGGGTTGTCAGGCAGTCCGGTATTTGCAGAACCCCTGTCCGTCAGGCCTCTCCGAAGTAGAACTGCTGGGCGACTTTGGGGGGCTCTCAAGACTGATGACTGCAGATCCGGATTTGCTTCGTGCCGTGGCACAGACATGAAGTGATAGCTCCTGTCACAGATGCTTTCTGACAGAGCAGAATAATAGCACTCAGACTTCCACAGTAAATTACAAACAATCCCTTCTTAAGTACAAAATGAATGTACAGAATGGAAGACCCTGTCAGCTAGAATGTGAGTAAATCAAGTAGGAGAAGACAAATTGTTCACTCATACCACTACAGCCAGATTCTTATGCTGCTAACCGTACTGTCCTGGGAGAGCTTTTCTTCTTTGTCAGATAAAAAGAGAGATTAAACCTCCATTGTAATTCTAATCAATATGCCAGGGATCATCGGATGCATCTCCTCTGAAAGCCAATCAAGTTACAAGGTGATGCCTTCCAACCCCTCCCCCATCTCTGGTTTAAAAGTTGTAGCTGAAATACCAATAGTAAGAACATGTGACCCCAGCACTCCCAGCGGGAGCTTTTCTGCAGTCAATTTCATAATGACTTTGCTCCGCCTCTCTGCTCAACACTTCCTTCCCCCTCATTCTCCTCTTTCCCCCACCCCCAGCAATGAATCATCCTGCACTTAAAGAGACTTAGATGACCCAGTGTGAACCTTACAGGCATCCTGTACATTCTTATGCCAAAAAAGGGAGTTGCTCTGTGACAGAAACCTAGGCAGATCCCGATGCAGATCTCAGAAGTGGGGAGCTTGGGTGCTTATCTAGGAAGATCAGTGAGGAGTTAATTTTCCTAGATCCTGGTGGGGATTCAGAATTGCCTATCGCAGTTCACGATCAGGTTTTTAAGAACCCAGTTCAGCTCTTTGTGCAGAAAGGAATATATCAGAGACAAAAATGTTGGCAGATCTCCTTTATGCAATCAGGGCAGAGGAATTTATACCACATCAGCCTTTTGATTTCTTCAGATCTGGCTGAGGGTGGGGTTTCCATATTTGTGCTTTGGCAAATGTGTCCAAGAATGAACTCTGCCTTAGAGATGCTCCGAATGTTCTTCCAGGTTACTGTGTGCTGATTTGTGCATTTAATATTAAAACCAGAAACATTCTTGCCCCTTCATTTCTTTAATACCGTTTCTGAGTAATACAGATTAAGTAGACAATCTGGGCCTCGCCCCACTTAAGGCAGTAAAGAGTGGATCACCTAGATAACATTGTGCTTTTACATATACTTTCTCTCTACCTGGGAAGCCCTTCTTTGCATGGCGATCTTCCCCCACCCTCCAGGATCCAGCTCAAGCACCAGCACTTCTGCAAGTCTTCCCTGATTATCACAAGACTTTGCAGCTCTGCCCAATGTGTGAGTCAGAGAAGTGCTATTTTCTTATTCTTTTTATTTATACAATATATATTTTCTTAACTCTGACAGAAAAAAATCAGGGCCATAAGCACAGATGGAGATTATCCTAAGTGAGAGCGTCTCTTATCTAATATTTCCTGTACTCCCAAACCCATCTGACCTCCACTTACGATTTCATATGTAACTGTTTTCCTTTTATTGCTCCATTTCTGTGGTTCCCCCCACTGGTCATTTCTCCACGTGAGTTCCTGTTGCCCTCTGTCATAGGTTGAATTGTGCTCCCCGAAAGATATATTGAAGTCCTAGGCCCCAGGAAAGTGAGTGTGACTTTATTTGGAAATAGGGTCTTTGCAGATGTAATTAGTTAAGATGAGGCCTTACCGGATTAGGGTGGACCCTGAGTCCAATATGACTGCTGCCCTCCTAAGAAGAGGAGACACAGAAACACAGAGGAGACACAGGGCGGGGAAGAAGGGTACAGGAAGACAGAGGCAGAGCTTGGTGTTATGCTGCCACCAGCCAAGGAAAGCCAAGAATGGCCAGCAACCACCAGGAGCTAGAAGAGGCAAGGAAGGATTCTTCCCTAGAGCCTCAGAGGGAGCAAAGCCTTGCTGACACCTTGATTTTGGACCTCTAGCCTCCAGAACTGTGAGAGAATATATTTCTCTTGTTTTTGTTTTGTGTTGTTTTGTCATTTGTTTTATTTATTTTTGGCTGCATTGGGTCTTCGTTGTTGAATGCAGGCTTTCTCTAGTTGCAGCAAGTGGGGGCTACTCTTCCTTGCAGTATGTGGGCTTCTCACTGCAGTGGCTTCTCTTGTTGCGGAGCACGGGCTCAGTAGTTGTGGCTCGTGGGCCCTAGAGCACAGGCTTCAGTAGTTGCGGCACACGGGCTTAGCTGTTCCGCGGCATGTGGGATCTTCCCAGACCAGGGCTCAAACCCGTGTCTCCTGCATTGGCAGGCGGATTCTTAACCACTGCGGCACCAGGGAAGCCCTGTTTCTCTTGTTTTAAGCCACCCAGTTTGGGCTTATTTGTTACAGCAGCCCCAGGAAACTCATACACCCTTTTTATGAGAGCCGTGGTGACAGCTCTGTTGCATTCTTCTTTCTTCTCTTTATTTACATATGTGGCCCACTCTCCTCTATAGATACACGTAGGTAATCAGTTCTGGACGCATGTTTGGTCTTTTAGCCATGACAGTACCAATATACAAAAGTTTCAGTGGAATAGGAAAGTTGTCAAGAGACTTCTAGAAGCACCTCCCCATCCTCCCAGAAACATCTGGCCTCTAGCCCAGAGAGAGGCTCAGACGTTGCTGCAGGTCTGAGAGAGGGTGGTGTCCTCCCAGACTGGGCCTCAGCTCAAAGGTCTTCCCAGGGCTCATTGGCTCCTTCTACTGGTGCCAGGATGCACCTGCAGCTCTCCCCTTCAGAAGTGGCATTTCAATGTGTGGAGTGGGGTGAGGAAGAGACTAAAAAAGCCAAATCAATTGTTTGGCACGGAGGAGGAAATACAACCCAAAAAACTGCTGCCTTTTTTTTTAAACTGTTCATTCGAGTCTTATAAAAGTGCTTGTGAATACCTCAGTCTTTCTGACTCTCATCTTCCAAAAGCACAACTGGAAGCTCACCGGTTTCATGAGGTTTTCCCCAGCAGGTGGAGGGAGGCCTTACACTTGAGCCCAGAATCCCGAGGTGTCTCTTCTCTAACAGTCACCAAGAGACGGACCATACAGTTCTTGCACACACGTCTCAGTAAATGGCAGCTCCATCCTTCCAACTGCTCAGGCCAAAAAGCATCTTGATTCCTCTGTCTTTCACACCCCACATCCAATCTGCCCCAAAATCCAGTTGGCTGTCCCTTCTGTATCCAGAATCTGACCATTTCTCACCATTTGGGCTGCTACCACCGGAGATGAACCACCACCACCCTCCATCAGGATGATTGCACTGACCTAAATCATCCCTCTGCTTCCACCATGTTCAGCTCAGGCCATAGTTGAGCATCTGCATGAGGTGATGCCACAGCTCTGCTCCAAAGCATCTGATGTCTCTCTTCTACTTGGAGTCAAAATCAAAATCCTCCCATGGCCTCCAAGGCCCCACACAATCAGGGTGCCCTCTGTCTTCCAGATCCCATGTCCTCTCTCCCCTCCCTCCTATAGCTCCAGCCCCAAACAAGCCAGGTGCTCCCCTGCATCAGGGCCTTTCTACTTGCTGATCCCTCACTTGGAATGCTTCTCCCTGAATATCCACATGGCTCACTCCCTCGCCTTCTTCAGTCTTTTTTTCTTAAAAAAAAAAAAAGCAAACAAAAAACCTCCCAGGGGCTTCCCTGGTGGCGCAGTGGTTGAGAGTCCGCCTGCCGATGCAGGGGACACGGGTTCGTGCCCGGGTCCGGGAGGATCCCACGTGCTGTGGAGCGGCTGGGCCCGTGAGCCACGGCTGCTGGGCCTGTGCGTCCGGAGCCTGTGCTCCGCGACGGGAGAGGCCGCGGCGGTGAGAGGCCCATGTACCGCATCTGACCACCCTACTTAAAATTGTACCCCCTGACTTTCCTGATCCACCTTGCTCTGCTCTATTATTTCATCAGTATAGTACCTTAGAACATTCAGAGTCATTTCCTTTAGTTTGTTTACTGTCAGGAGAGCAGAGGTTGTGTCTGTCTTATGCGCTGATAAACCTCAAACATCTAGAAGAGTCCTTGGCACATGACAGACACCCACTAAAGATTCATCAACCATTAAATGAATGAATGAATCAGTAATATTTTTCAGGACCTACTATGTGCAAAGCCTTAAGCTCCAACACAACAATTCCCTCATTAGAAGCTAATCCAAAACCAATGCATCTTGTCCACACTATGGTATATGTTCTGTTTACTTGATCTTTGACTTAATTATATCTGGTATACCTATTAAGACTGAGTTGGAATGAGCTGAATTTCACATTCAGACTCAGATTTGTGAAGAACTTTTAAGAAACAAAATTTGAAACCAGAATTGAAAATCATGTACAAACATAACAGCAAGTTTTGAGAACAAACAGAAAGTAGCACTGCTACAGCTTCCAATAATCATAATTTTTAAAAGCTACCATTTATCAAGCTCCTATTCTATGCCAGGCAACATGGTAAGGGTTTTGCACATGTCGTTTCATCTAAATCCCCATCACAGTCCAGTGAGGTGAAGATCATGCTTCCCATTTCTTAGATGATCAAACTGAGGCTTGGAGTTTAAAGGACCTGCCCAAGGTCCAAGGTCACCCAGCACTGGTTTCAAGGTGAAGTTATCCACCTACGTAGCCTGAGAATTTTTAACAAGTCATTACCTGAATGAAATAGGCCAGGTGGAGTCATAACGCTGCATTGCAATATTTTGGCTAAAGCAACATTTTTAATACTAATCTCTATTAGATTTTATTTTTGAGTGAATAATACATGTATCTCAGAAATGAAAGCTAGTGATTCTTATTGAGGATTGAATATTCCTACATAAACCAAGTGGCTTCAGAGCAACCTAACTGGTTACCCAACTAACGAAACTATACTCCAGCTTATGATTTTTTATCCACACTGCTACATGGCTGGAATGACTCTCACTTGAAGTCCATGGTCACATTCCAAGGACCTTTCCTATTAGAAATTTTGACTCAAATCTGGCACAGCCCACTATAGTAAGGTCAAAATAGATTGTAAAGGGCCCACACGAATTCCCACGCCTAACTGAAGGACTTAATTTCCTTTCAGTTGACCTGTGTTTGACTTCTCTTGTTCTACCCTTGAACTTCCCAGAGGCCACTGTGACCAGAACTCAGGTGTAGGATCTGAAAGTAACCTGGCCACACAAAAATGTATAAAACACTACCACCTCTTCACAGACTCACTCCACTTTATATTTGAGGGGAACGATCCTGGAAGCGGAAATACTTCGAGAGTTCAACAGTCTGGGAAATTTAAAGGAGGGGGAAAAAAGCCCTGCATTTCCAAAGATCTGAAGACAGAACTCTGCTCTCTGAGGACAGCAGGAAGTAAGAAGACCCGATTCGTGGCTTCAGGAGAGGAAAAGAAAAGAGCCCCACAAGGAAACTACCAACAGATGGTAAATACATTTTTAATTCTTCTGTCATACTGTGTGGACTTGTACACATTTGTCCTGCTGTGTTAGGCTCCCAAAATAGCTAGCCATGGAATTGCAGAACAGTTCGGCTGCAATTTGAGATTTAGGAAACCGTGCTGGCTGACAAAACAGGAAGGGCTCATAGTAGGATGGAGTGGATTTGCTCCCAGTTTGCAGCTCCTCCATGTGGCATTCACTGTAGTTCTTAGTGCAGGAAGATTCTCTCACATGTCAGGTCTCATTGATGATGTCTTAAAACGTACTATTTCAAATTGTCCTCCGAGCTCTAGTTACAAGTATTAAACATTGACATGATCTACGTGGTAACTCTCAAAGGTTAAAAGGAATATGATCCATTTATTTATGGATTCCAAATTTTCCAGGGAGCATCACAAACATATATGGCAGCCTGGAGCTCTATACTTAGCCATTCTCATACTTTTCATTTTGGCATAATGTTTCCATAGAATATCATGGGAATTCCAATGCCAGAAAAAGGACCAAATATGATAATGGATTGCTCTAAGAGGAACCTAAGGAGATAGGATGCTAAAGCATATTCAGTTGACTCCGCATCTAAGACGTGACCTGAGATGGGTACCAGGAAATGAGTTAGGTTCCCAGTCCCAACACCGTCTCCCAGTGCATCAGCAAGAAAGAAAAAGTGTTGATGAACCCAAGTGGATGTGGAATAATGGGGAGAGGGTGGTCTGTTACTTAACTGTGGTCTAGAAATATCACTTACACAACTACTAGACCTGGAAGGATACTTACAGAATCTAGTTCTTTTTTTTTTTTTTTTTTTTTTTTTTCATTTTATAGACAGGAATCTCCGCCAAAGAGTTGCAGGAAATTGGCAGAGATTATACAACTGGTTGATGGCAGATTCAGTACTGGAACCCAAGACATCTATTTCTCAGTTCAATGTTTGTTCTGCTTTAGCACCCACAGAAGGTGGACATTTCTGTGATAAGCAAGATCTAATTCTAGAAGACCTTTCTCATAGTAATCTTCACTCTTGGGTTTTTATAAAGCAAGATGATGGAATCTCTGGTCTATGAATGTTTGGGAAACTGGTAGATATTCTTTATAGCTAAGGTTTCAGGCTTACATATATTTGTTAATTTCTGTTCTAAACCCCTGTGGATTGTGTCTAGATTATATAGCTATCACACAATCTGGCACAGCTGGGATCCTCCTGTCATGAAATAGCAGGGAAGATTGGTACATAGGGATTGAAAAGCATTGGCAAAAGAGAACAGGGAGTTTATGCAATAACTTCCTACCCTGAGCCTTTCTGGTCGAAGAATTTCTCCTAGCCTCGATTCAAGAGAAGGGTGGGTGGGAACGAAAGGGGATTTTTATCTTCTTAGTGAAAGAAAGGATACAAAAACACTTAAGAACTGCTCAGTTTGATAAAATCTTGATTTTGCTTAGTTTAAGTTTCTACAAGACTGATTATATTCTTGTTCAAATGACCTATATGTTCATAGATAATTTTTCTAGTGGGTACATATGTTTACTAATAAAAACTATTCTCAATCAGCTATTTAAGAAATGTTTTTTTTTCTTTTTTTTTTTTTTTTTTTTTTTTTTTTAAGAAAGCTAATCGGTACGCTTCATAGCTACTTTAGCAATAAGGTCTCCTAAATCTGGCAGTTCTGTTCAGCATTTTGATTTGTTGTTTTCTGCTTGTGATTTCATCAATGTTCTTTTCTATTTTTTGTGGTGGGGAAATGTTTACCTGTTGTGTTTAAACATGGCATTCTTTGCTTTGAGAATCAATTTGACCATTCTGACGCCTCTGGCTCCTTTGACTCCTCTGACCATTCTGACGCCTCTGGCTGGCTAATTTTACTATCTCCGTTGTCTAGTTACAGATTCGTGGGTGGGGGAGGGTAGAATAAAGTGAATTCTTCAGAGGAGAGCAGTAATGAAGGCGCACTTTAGGTTTATCTCATCCCTGTGATCCAAACTTGATTATCTAGCTAATATCACTAGGGACATTTGCGGCTTTAATAATTACATCTCAAGGCCTAAAGAAAAAAAAAAAAAGAAGAAAACTTACATTTACTACACATTCACATGCAGCCTTTCAGAGAGCTACCATCTGAAAGCCTGTTTGGCTGCTTTAAGAAAATAGATTGATATCAAGATTCTGCTTTAAGAGTTCAAGCTCAGTTGACGCTTTTTTCTTTAAAAAAAAAAAAAAAAAGCTAGATTTCAACAACTGTTTTGTGTAGAAGGGTTTAGCATTGCTTATCTGAGAGAGTAAAAAATCTAAGCTATTGATTTTACCTTTCCTTTTGGAGGACAGTTTTAGGATTTTTTTTTTTCCCCTAGAAAGTTTTGAGGCTATGATTCATGTTAAAAGTGCCCTGTTCCATTATATACCAACACTGCTTTGAAGCTGTCTCTGCTTCTAGGTCAAGGGCTCTCCCTGTGGCCAGATGCCAGTTTTATCCTTGGACTCTCATGATCCTCAGAAATAAATCAGCTTTCCAGTAAAATCCTGTGACAGCTGTTTTACATAAAAGTACGCAGCCTGGGGATGTGATACTGTTTTGTGTTTTAGATGGAGACGAAGGCAAAGAAAACATCCATTATCGATGAGAGACAATTCCAAGTGGAACCATTATTACAGAAATCAGAGGGCAGCTGGGTCGGGGGCGGGGCGGAGGTACCACATTCATTCTCCCTGCAGCATCTCTAACCCAAAAGCTTATTATTTGCGCAGAAATAAAAATACAAATGACTGTAAAGTGTTCTAATCCACATGTGGCATGGGTCAGTACAGTCCATGAGTTGAAAAAGTGTTG